AAAAAGATGTGTTCACACTGAGACTCACACTCAAATGTTCATAGCAGCTTTACTCATAATAGGAAAAGCTGAAAACAACCCAGATGTCCATTTATTGGTAAAGGGATAAACTGCAGTATAGCCATACAAAATAATATATTACCCAGCGATAAAAGGAACCAGCTACTAAAACATGCAACAACATAGATCAATCTCAAGAACATTATACCAAGTGAAAGATATCAGACACGACACTATAATTGTATTTACATAAAATTCTTGAATAGTTAAAGCTAACATAATGAGACAGAAGCTCTGGATGGGCCAGAGTTGGGGGGGATTCGCTGCAAACAGGCATGAGAGAATTTTCAGGGTGACAGAAATGTTCTATATCTTTATTGAGGTAGTGAATACACCATAGTATCCATTTGTCAAAACCTATATAACTATACACTTAAAGTTAGTACATTTTATAATGTTCAACTTTATAGCTCAAAGTTGATTATAAAAACAACAGTGAACTCCTATAGTCATGAGGGTAAATCTAACAAGGAAGAAGATCCTGTAATGTCTAACCCCTACTCACCTCTTGCCAGCTTTAGCTTGAGCCAGTCTCTGCCTCACTCTCTGCTCCAACAGGGCTTCTCTTGTCCTTTAGAACATATTCTTTTCTCTCCTGCTCTTGGCTTTTACAGCCATTCCTTTCTCAAGTGCACTCTCATCCCCAAACTCTTTTTGGGGAGAAGGTCTCACTCTGGGGCCCAGAGTAAGTGTTACAGCTAATCGCAGCCTTGACTTCCTGGGTTCAGGCGATCCTTCCACCTCAGCCTCACAAGTAGATGGGACAGTCTCAACCTCATGGACTCAGGTGATCCTTCAGTCTCATAAGAAGTTGTGATTATAGGCACATGCCGCTAACTCCCTTTTTTGTTTGTTTTTGTTTTTGGTAGACACAAAGTCTCCTATGTGCCCAAGCTGATCTCCTGGGCTCAAGCCATTCTTTCATTTTGGCCTCCCAAAGAGCTGGTTTTACATGCGTGAGCCACCACACCTGGCCCAACTCTTATTCATCCTTCATTTCGTTCTAAAGAAAGTCATCCTTAAAATCTTGGACTAGGATAAGAACCCTGGTACATGCAAGGGAACTACTACTTTTTTTTTTTTTACTATACTTTTAAATAATAGCAATTATTTACCTTATTGATAATTGGTATATGAAATATGTTTAAATCTCTAAATCTTTAATTATTTTTAAATCTCTAATTCATCTAAAATGTAACAAATGAGACCATGAGTTCAGATAAAAATATACAAATACAGCTGTGTATTTGTATGCATAATTAACCAATCTTTGAGGCAAGAAAAACTTTCTTTAGATCAGAAGCTCCTTGAAGCAAGGGATATCTATTGTGTTCAGCACTCTTCTCTCACTGTCTGGCATATAAGAAATCCTCAAATATTTGCTGACAAAGCAAGCAAATAAAATACTTAAAAATCCAAAATAAAATCTTAGCATGTTAAATTTAGCAATACATGAAAAAAAATATATGTTTAAATAGGGCAATAAAGTTTCGTATTTGGAAGTATATTACTTTATATAATTCATTACATTAATATATCAAAGAAGACTAATTATCTCTATATATGGGAAAAGAAATTAGACAAAATTCAACACATTTCAACACATTTCTTAATTAAAAAGCAAAACAGGCTGTTGCTTTGTTAAACTCTGGTGTGTCCATGTGGCTTTCTGAGCTATGACTGCCATGTTTCTTGGCTTTGGCCCTCTACCTTGGGCAGGTGAATCTTCTTTCCCTCTCTAATTTACTTTCTAAATAAACTTTGCTTGAAAACTTTGGGGGGAAAAAGCAAAACAAAACAAAATACTTTGTGAACTAGAAAAAGGCTGCTTTAACATAATGCATTTCTGAAACTAATTTCCCCATTGAACTTAATGGAAAAATTCTGGTGACAAAGATACCTCTTGCCACTACTAGTGGTCAACATTATTCTGGAAACATTAAAGAATAAGGTAAAGTGCATGGGGGTATCAGAAAAGGTCAATTATATTCAGATTGTGACCATCTATCTGAAAAACCTAAGATAATTAACTAAAATATCTTAGTAAGCAAGTTTAGCATGGTAGCCAATTACCAAGTACATGAATACATATTATGAAAACAGTGTATTTAAAACAATGCAGCCGGGCTCGGTGGCTCAGCCTGTAATCCCGCGCCTTTGGGAGGCTGAGGTGAGTGGATTGCCTGAGCCCGCGGGTTCGAGACCCGCCTGGGCAACTTGGCGAGACCTCATCTCTACAATAAATAAAAAAAAATTAGCCGGGCGTGATAGCACGCGCCTGTAATTCCAGCTACTTGGAAGGCTGAGGCGGAAGGATCGCCGGAGCCCAGCAGGTCGAGGCTGCGGTGGCCAGGAGCGGCCACTGCACTCCAGTCTGGGCGACAGAGTGAGACTCCAACTCAAAAAATAAAAAATAAAAATAATAATAATAATAAATAAAACAATGCAATATTGTCAAAAGAATAAAGAGATCAAGGAAATAGACAAGAAAGATTTTACATTTTGCCATATAAGAAATTATTATAAAATTGACCACTGCAGAAGCATGCATTATTTAAATAGCTATTACAGTTACTAAATAATTGTATTAGGACATCATGGACAAAGACATTCAATGTAAAGTATAAACTGAAATAATATTTAAATCTCTAATTCATTTAAAATTCAACAAATGAGACTATGAGGATTGAGATAAAAATATACAAATGCATCTGTGCATATGTATATGCATAATTAATTAATCTTAGAGACAAAGAAGACTTTCTAAGCTGGATCTTAACTGCAAAAACAATAAAGGAAGTCGGGCTCGGTGGCTCAGCGTGTAATCCCGCGCTTTGGGAGGCTGAGGTGAGTGGATTGCCTGAGCCCGTGGGTTCGAGACCTGCTTGAGCAACTTGACAAGACCTCATCTCTACAATAAATTTTAAAAAAAAATTAGCCAGGTGTGGTAGTGCACGCCTTGCTAGTACAGTTGCTTGGAAGTCTCAGGTGGAAGGGATCGCTGGAGCCCAGCAGGTCAAGGCTGCAGTGGCTGGGAGCGGCCACAGCACTCCAGTGTGGGCGACAGAGTGAGACTCCAACTCAAAAAAAATAAAAAATAAAAATACAAAATACAAAAAATAAAGGAAAAGGCTGAGATGTTGGACTACAAAATTGAATATTCATATTACAAACAAAGTAAAAATGTAAATGATAAATGAAGAACACAAGATATGATTAGAAATGTTTTTTTATTTATAAAGATTTCTTAAACTCAATAAGAAAATTGGAAAAATGGGTAAAAACCATGAACATGCAATCCATAAAGGGAATATAAATGGTACATGTCAAGATTTCAAATTAAGAGTTAAAGAAATAAAAATTAAAATATTCTATCAGATTAAAAATATTATAAAATGATTCATTGTACCTAGTACAGAGGGAGATGGATGGATACTTAAATACTGATAGGAGTGTGAATCGTCTACTTTCTGGAGGTCAGTGAGGCCACCTTATAAAATGCCATAACACACAAAATTTTTTCTAGGAATCAAGAAACCATTAGACAATTGTCCGGAAATGAGTGATTTTTGTAATGTGGTTTTCTTTATAATACTGAAAAATAGAAATAGTCAGCAATCAGTGACTATGGCTAATTTGATACAGTCATAAAAGAGGACCCATTCAGATTTTTAAATGTTCCAGATATACATCTTTGTATGTGTATTTAACATCAAAAGAAGTACATAAGTGGAAAAATATACCTATAGAATGATACCCAATACATACCTATATATTCAAAGACATAGTAGAAACAACTTTCTAAGAACATTCGCCAAAATGTTAACAGTCAACTCTTCCAGGAATTATATATTTCTCCCACTTTTGTATTTTTCTCTGTTGAAGATTCTTTGACAGAATATAGAACTGTTTCCAAAAATAGTTCAAACATAGGATATAAAGAGATGGGCAGCTGGATTACTTCCTTGTAATTACTCTTGTGGTTTTAAGTGTATGGGGGCCTGTGAATACTTTAAGGTTCTAAAGAACTGGATGAATTAACTCAGTGTTTCTCAAACTACATCCCATGGCCCATCCCCATCAGGATCATCTGTTATGCTCATTAAGAATTTCTTTGGTCCCACCCTAGCTCTACTGAACTAAAGTCACCTAGGACTGGCATTTTAAGCATACTTTCGAGGAGATTCTTAGGCACACTGGTATTTGAAACCTGTGAGATATTCCTTATACAGCCAGAGGGCAGACAATTCAAGGTTGTTCTTGCAGAGGAAAAAGGCTGCCCAGTTTCCACAGCAGATGTTTAGGTGAACTTTTCTTTTCCCGTGTTTTAGCAAGCTTAGTCCATCACCTATTATATTTGCACACATAGTTAAATTTATGTCTTGACTATCCTTTCTACCAATTTTTTTCTTCTTCTTCTTCTTCTTTTTTTTTTAACTTGGGGCCAATATTCCCTGGCTACATATAAACTTTTAAAAATAAATCTGGTAGGACTAGATACTAAGAGGTTTATTATTTTATATGGCAGTCATTTTTTGGCTCCTCCATTGAGACTATACTTAAGTAGCAAAATGTCATTTAAGACAGCTTTCTCATAACCAAGATTGGGCTACTTGGAATCAAAAACTTTTCAGGGTCAATTATCTAAATTATTCCTGGTGTAAAATGTAACAGAGAAATGACAATGTAGGTACTATTTCTTCCAGAGTCATCTGTTTCTACTTATATGGTATTTATAAGCATCTATCAGTCTGTCCTGCAAAAAAGTGTTAATGACATCACTCTCTTCCTAGCAGATCCTTGAAGAAAACTCACAACCCAATTTCTACAGTAATTGCCTCCGAATATTCCTTTTCTTACAGGGAGATAGTGATTATTTTCTTTTCCATGGTTTCCATGTGCCCTGGTACCACACCCCCACACTCCCAAGCAGGCCTTACCGGCATGGTGATCTGAATGGGTTGCCGTTCTCCGCTCTTGGTTGGGGCCACACCTTCTGTGTCATATGTGCCCGTATAAACAATTCTGTCCCCATCAGGTTCTTTTGACTTCAGCTCCAGTGGGACAAGCACACCACCAATGGAAATGTTCCTGCAATGGACTTGAGTTGACCATATGTGGTAGAAATTAGCCTATGTACCCTGTGTCCTGGTCTGGACTAAAACCCTAGCCAGAAAACCTATAGGGTTTGGCTAAAGGGAGCATTGAGGTATGGTAGAAAGTTCTTTGAAAGCTTAAGAGGCAGTGGTACTCCTCTTTAGTTCCTCATTGAAAATCACCAGTAGAGTTATTAAAAACAGCCTGGGCAACTTGGTAAGACCTCATCTCTACAACAAATCAAAAAATTAGCTGGGTGTGGTAGCATGTGCCAGTAGCACATTCTAGCTACTTGGGAGGCTGAAACAGAAGGATCCCCATCGCGGAGCCCAGCAGTTCGATGCTGGGGTGGCCATGAGAGTGCCACTGCACTCCAGCCTGGACGACAGAGTGAGACTCCAACTCAAAAACAACAACAACAACAACAACAAAAACAACCTACCTACACCCAGCCTCATCCCCAAACCCAGAGTTTGGGACTCAGTTGGTCTGGGATGTAGACTGGGCACTGGTCAATGTATTTTAAAGTTATCTAGGTGATCCTAATGTGTAGGTGGGACAGAAAACCACTAGACTAATTCTCTAGTGATTTGTTTTTTTCTGTTACAAAAAAAATCAGAGGATCCTATGATTTGGGGTACTTCAGACCTGCTACACCACCAGAAATTCTCACTGGCATAATTCCTTTGTGTTAGGATAGTGGTAATCAAACCAAAGTCCCTGGACCAACAGTATCTGCATCACCTGCAGACCTATCAGAAGGCAAATTCTTAACATGAACATGTTGCCTTATGTTAGAATGACTAAGTTAAATCTCTTGTTTTTTATTTGTCCGAGGGAGATAGAAGAAATAGGCACTGCTAGAATAATTCCCCTGGCACAGAAATCCTCCTGCAAGGTGCTGACTATGCCACTTTTTAAATGGGTATTGCCATGGTAGTGTGAATTTCATCAATTCTGTGGATGGATGGAGAAATGAAAATTTCCCCCCAAACCTTTAGGCAAAAGTGGTTGTTTGATTTTTGTTTTCTTTTGGCTTTCCCTTTGAAATCTTAAATGTCAATATTGCAGGCTGCAGGCATGACAGACAATGAGCAAATGAATAACCCATGAAAAAACTCCTGTGTCAGCTAACAGGCATCTGAGTGTATCACTGTGGTCTACAGAGAATGCTGGGGACAGTAGCAAGGAGAACCTGTATCAACCACTGCAGCCTTGAGATAAAGTTGGTGTCTTTTTGGACTTTAAAATTGTTCCTATGCAGTTTATTACATTTTTGCTTAATCAAACAAACAAGCGAGGTTTTCCATGGCCAAAAAAAAAAAAAAGAAAAAAAAAGGTAGCAAATTCTTAGACCCTGCTCTAGACAGTACACTAGAAACTTTGGGTATGTCCGTCCATTTGTGTTTTAATAAGCCCTCGGGGCGATTGTGATGTATATTCAGGTCTGAGAACTACTGAGGTATGGTACTAAAAAAAATCCTTGATAAAAAATTAAAGCACAACTAGAAAAAATATTTTTGTTATTAATTATTTTGTAATTTTTAGATTAGAATGAAAACTACAGAACTATCCTGAAGAAAATGGAATATAGAACAGATAACTCCAGGAATAAAGTTTGTAAGGAAAGAAAGGAAAGCCTGGGTTATATATCCAGGTGCACAAAAAACTGGGAAATGTGAGGACCAAGTAGGGGTGATGACATATTTGGACCAGCAGCACCAGAAACCGTCCAGTTTCTGGGTCCTTGCACCTGGAAGGTCAATACAAGTTCATTGAATTAAAACAAGCTATAGAAGTGTCTATGGATTCTAAGCCCCTCCCCCAATAATGCCCAGCATCATGGTAGATACAATACATGTTGGTTGATTTTCTCTGCATACTAGACTTCACACAGTGCCTAGGTGAAATCTCAGAGGTAAAGGATTCCTCCCTTGGACTCTTCTCGATGGGCTCCCGCACACACCCACACTGCCCTTCCCGCCAGAGGTCTACTGGGTACATCATGCTGTGGTAGCTGGGAAGAGATAATCCCTGCCACGGATAAACCATAAAACATCCTCTTGCAATGAGGAGGTTGCTAATTCCAGCCACCATCGCCAGGGAGAAAAAGAAAAACACAAGGCTTGGGAAACAGTGCAACTAGGCCTGAGCAGAGGCGGCCGCCCTGACTCGTGCCTGGTGCTCCAGCCCCGGGTCCCCAGCCACGGAAGGGCGGAGGGAGTGGGGGGGGGCATCCCCCAGGGAGCCCCCACATAACCCTCCCCGTCCTCACACCTCATTCCTCAGCCTTTCGCCCTCCTGGCGCGGCGCCAGGACCGGACAGTGGAGGGCTGGGATTGCGGTAGGTGAGCACTGCGGGGCTTCCCCCATCTGCTCCACCCGGAACCCCGCGGTCCCGCGCCCCGGGCTGGACAGAAGAGCAAGAGAGAGAGACAAGAAACACACACGAATAAAAATCCTGGCTTCCTGTCGCTGGTTTAAACGAACCCAAGGGGGCCTCCGCGTGGGTGGAGGGAAGCGAGAATAGAGGGACTGCGGGCGCAAGGTAGGGAGCGGAAAGGGCCAGCGGGGAGCCGACCTCT